AGGAAGCTATTAGATGAAATTGGAACCTTGAATCTTTATGATTGAAGAATTTTTCCAACAAGCATTGCTACTTGAAAACAAAATAAGTTTAAAACCATAAGACTTTTGGGAATGTATGTACTAGTATATATTTCTATAAGATTAATAATAGCTGACAAGTCATTTTTGAAACAATTTTTTAGTGTGTTGAATATAATACTAAGAAAATAACAGAAGTCCAGGGTGGGTAGGTGATAAGCCGAGGTAAAAACTGAAGGTTTTTGAGAAAGGTGGTTTGGCAGGTACACTGCACTGAATTGAATCTGCAGACTTTTCAGAGTCTTTGGAGGATAGAAGGATGAGACTACTGAGAGCATTTTTATTTTCTAGTGCAATACAGAAAATATGGTTTGCACTCATTTAATTTGCACTCGTTGCTAACTTTTAAATGTAGCCTGACAATATGTCAGTCAATATGATCACAGTGTTGTGTCTTCCAGGCACACTCTTATACATGGAAATACTTTTTGCATAAAGCCCTTTTGGGGTTGACTTTAACAAATAATTTAGGCTCATGCTCTTCTTTTTCAGCCCTGATGCTCTGATGATGTCAGGGGCAGAGCAGAACCCTCAGGAGGGAGGCAGGGTTGACACAGTGTTCCAGCAGGAGGCTAGGTTGGAACACTGCATCAGGTAAGAGTAAAACTACACCCCTGCCTCCGTGAGGATACGGACTGCAGACAAACTTTTGTGGGTGGGCCTGAAGCTCTTTGTTGGAGTATTCATAGGGAGCCAGGTTGGTAGAAGGAGATATAGCTTATTTACAGACTTAATGCTCATGACTGTTAGTTTCTAGAACATAGGTAATTTGCTCTATTTCTACTGCCATTTGTTGTTCTATATATGAAATAGGAAAGAAACAATGTGTAATTCTGCTAATTCATCCAGAAATAATTTTGGGGTTTTCAAAGACAGACTAAATTTTTTTAAAAATATTTTAGTCTTAGAACCCCTTTACATTCTTAAAGATTATTGTGAACCCTAAAGAACTTCTGTTTATGTGACTTAGATCTATCAATAGTTGCCCTATTAGAAATTAAAAATGATAAATTTAAAAAATTTTTACAGCTTTTTAAAAATTACAATTATAAGCTCCCTAAATATTAGCATACATATTTTAGGAAAATAGCTATATTCCCCAAAATAAAATAAAAAATTATGAAAAGGGTAGCATTGTTTTTACATTTTGTAAATCTCTTTAATATCTATTTTAGTAGAAGACAGCTGGATTTTCATATTTGCTTCTGCGTTCAGGCGGTTAGGTATTATTTTGTTTGAGGTATCAGGTGTCTGCAGACTAAGCACTGAGTGCCAAATCCGGTCAGCTGACTGTTTTTCTATAGCCCACAGCAAAAAAGTGGTGGTTATTCCTTTTTCTTTTTAATCGTTGGAGAATAAAGAGAATATTTCATGACACATGAAATTCAAATTTGTAAAATTATATGAAACTCAAATTTCTTTGTCTATTATTAAAATAAAGCCAAGCTCATTTCTTTACTAATTATCATGGCTGCTTTTGCATTGCAACAGCAAAATTGAATAGTTGCACCAGAGACCATATAGCCTGCAAAGCCTAACATATGTACTATCTGGCCCTTGGTAGAAAAACGTTGCCAATCCCAAGTACATGAAGAAAATTTTGTCTGGCATAGTGAAAGGAAGGACTGTTTTTAGATAATTATGGATATTCTTTGCTACCACACCAAATGTCAACAAATGGTAATTTCTTAAAGGTTAATTGCAATGTGAAAGCTGAAACCATATTAATGAATTATTTGTACTGTTATGTTAAATTCCATAGATCTGTTTTGCACTTTGAATATACTTTGGATTAATCTTTTGCCCATACATGATTTTATAACATAATTGATTATTTGTAAAATATTGGTTCATTGAGTTATACAGATATGGATACACATTTTTCCAAAATTCTAATTTTCTCTTGAAAGCGCAAAGTTTGTCATTAGTAACAATACTGAAGACCGTTGTTTTCCTGAAGTGACAGGCTCACTTAACTCATTTTTGAGAAAATGCGTAAAAGTCTGAATAATTCGTTTGTCAGCTGTTCTTTAAAGAAAAATCACGTTCCATGAAAAAAGTGGCCTGTTCAGCTCACAGCCAAATCACTCAAGACCACTTCCTGGAGATGATCATCACTGTGCTCTGATAAAGAGCAAAAGTGCAATATATATTGCACCTCCCCATTACTTTGGGACTCCATTATATAAAATTGCAAACATATATTTCCCCTTTTTCCTACAAAGACTATTAAAAAGATGTGTATTCAGGGCTGAGATTTAATAAAATAATTTTTACCTCTTAATTGTGAACGTTCTTCAGTGACATTGCGATGCCTATTTATTTAAACTGGAATATGTGGGGGTGAAGAATACAATGACTAGTACAGGATGGGGCAAAAGTTGGTTTACAATTGTTGCTATGGGAAAAAATACAATAATTAATAAATAAAAATACAAGGATAAACTCTATGTTTCGTGTCCTCACAACTGTAAACCTATTTTGCCCACCCCTGTATTATTTTGGTGCCACTGCCTTGTTTCTTGTTGATAAGCCAGCAGTTTTACCCACCATTGCTTTTGCATCATCAGTTCAAATGCCAGCACAGGAGAAAAAATAATAATATGATGATTACAAAATCTTTTTGACTTTTCAGATGCCCTAAAAGAGTCATGGGGATTCCCTGGAGTCCATGATCCACAGTGTGAGAACTGCTACTCTAGGAAAATGACTCTGTTGGAATACTTACGAAGTATAATTATTTGAGTGAATAGTATACTTCAAGAGGCTACATCCACTACAACTTTGTACCAGTGAATCACAGAGGTTCCCAGAATCTATCCCAAATTATAACTGCCCTGATGTGGGGGTAGGGTACCGTATGTACCTAAATTTGCTAGTAGAAAACTGACATGAGAAAGCCAGGCCAGGGCCCCAGCTTACCCTAAGATGATATGTGAAACTAAAGTAATATAGTCTGACTGTAGATAGGTTCTTTTGAAAATTAGTCACCTTATAGTTAATACTGTTTGAATTCTATTTATTTTTCTTCAACAACTGCTTTGCTGGATCTCTTAAGACACTTCTCCATTCACCATCCTCCTAACAGAGTTTCAGTTTCATTAAATTCAGATTTATAGCCATTATATCCTTTCCTTAACTTTCTTTCTCTTTGTTATCATAGGAAAAAAATCCATAATTTTTGTTCATACTAAAACCACAAGCTATTCCCATGAGGAATTTGCTGCTACTAGTCATTATAAATATTATTTCATTATTTTTTTCTCTAAGAGCTTTGATTTAAGAGGTCTTCATAGAACATTATTGGAAGCCTTTCTGCCTCTTACTGTTTCTATACTGCAACATTTTTATCAAGAAAGGGATAGAATTAAGAAAGAAATAGCAACAATTTCCAATCTTACAAAACAAAAATTTATCAAAATCTGCTGCTGGACTGCAAATTAGAACTTGATATGACTACAAAAAAAGGGGAAGTATTTTGAGATAGTAGTCATGTAACAAAGGGCAAAGAGAAATTGAGTACTTTTTCAAAATACTGGTAGTTAGCTTTGGTTCTGGGAAAATAACAGCAAAGGAGAATGAATTTAATGAAGAAGAACACAAAAAGCAACTCGTTCAATAAAGATTTGTGTACATAGTATGTATTAGGTTCTGTGTTAGGCACTAAAATGTGAAGGATTTACTTTTGAATAGATTGAAAGGTTAAAACCTATACATTGCTAAGTTATTGTATGACTGTTTATTTAGGAATTTGAACTACAGTGCTAACATTTAATGGCAAATGTCTTTCTTTCTGATGGGAAACTCAGGTGCTATTTTATTCAGCTTGCCCCATGGTCAAGCAGTGAGATAGTGACAGATGCTAGAACAATGTTTTGATACAGGTTCTAAATAGATTAGGTACTCCCCATTAATTTGGCAATTATTTCATTTTTAGACTGGGATTATATTCAAAGATATGTAAAACTTGGGAAGATTGGAATGAGAATTAAGTTACCATTGAAATTCCTTCTGTTCTCAAATTGAAATTCAAGTGATATTTTAAATTAGGGCTTAACTACTCACAAGCAGAATGTGCTACCACATAATACTTTAAAAACTACTTTGCAATGGTGTCATCGATTTGTAGCTTTCTCAGTGAAGGTTAAGTGCCAGTGGCTTAATGATAAAACTTTCTTTGGTGTGGGCTCATTGACTGCTTTTCACTCATGCCTGGGACTCTTCCTCTCCTTTTACTCTCTGCCCTGCAAATATATGCTGCTTTTTGGTAACACAGGAGACTTGTAGAGAAAATGTGAGTGACTTAGTGTAAATTAGCATTTCCCAAAGTATATTCCAAGAGAATATTGAGGGATTTTATTTGATAAAAAAGGTTTGTGTTTGGGGAAAAGGATTTAAATAGTTAATTTGCTCTGAGACATTACAAGTCTTTCATATACAAATGTTCATGGAGTTGCTCCAACAGGGAGTTACAGTATTCCCAAATTTGAATAGAAAAAATTTATTGAACCTAATTTTTTTAAAGTACCTCACATTAATATTCCATAAAATACACTTTGGGATCTGCTACAAATTCAGCCCTATTATCAGAAAATTATTAAAAACGTCTGTGCTAGATGTATTATTATGCCTAACACTCTTTTTTCTATTCCTAACTAGAATTTATTTTCATGGAAAGCTTTGATTTTGGGTAGACAATAAGTAGCAGGAATAAGTACTGCCTAATTGTCTGACTGTTAAAATGTTTATTTATTTTTCAATTACAGTTGACATTTAATATAAAAATGTTTATTTTAGGAACATGAGGAAAGGAAATTCAGATTATCAATTACTACTTGTCAAATCTTCAGGGGTTTTTTTATAAGTAATATTCCTAAACTAAAATATATTATTTATGGAGAATTTCTGTTTTTCAATTGCAGATGTTGGGGATCAGACAGGTGAGGTAGGTTATTCAGGCTCGCCTGCAGAAGCACCTCCAAGCAAGTCACCATCAATGCCGTCACTAAACCAGACTTGGCCAGAGATGAATCAGAGCAGTGAGGTTAGCAAAGCTTCCCTTTCCTTTCATTAACATTAACTTTGTTAAGGTAAGACATTCCAAACAGTAATTTCAGCATAGAGCTCTTTCAGCAGGTATGCATAGCTAAGAGAGCATATAAAGTAGGGCTATGATAAGTGTTTGTAATTATGTGACTCTGAGGTTTTCAAAGTACTTTTTCATATATATATATACTGTCATTTGGTTTTCACCACTCATTCCTGCTAAAACCCTGTGAGTTAGATGGGGCAGGAACATGCAGGTTATAGTCAAAAGGGTGAATGTCTTGGCCAAGATAACTCATAACCACTGAAGAACAAGAGCTTAGATTTGAACACAAGTCCTTTGACCTGTAGTCAATTACCACACCCACCATGTCACACTGCTTCTCATTCCTGTATGTGATAATAATTTTTGGAATCTTAGTATTGGAAGTGATATGAGAAGTCACTAATCCTGCCTTCCACATGAAAAAAGTATTTTCTTCAACCCAGGCTATTGATAATAATTTAGTTTTATTTAATACAATATGGAATTAAACCCTAATAAATGCAGTGGTTAAATGATATTATATATAAGACCAAGGATAACATGCAAAACAGAATTTGAGACAAATGCACTCCCTCTCCTCCTCATTACTTGGGAACTCCATTATATAAAACTATAAAAGTGGGGCCACTCTGATTAGAATCAGAGAAGTAGGCCGGAGGCCCTTGTGTTAAACCTTAGTGCTCTGTAGAACTTCAGCTAAAAAATAGCTGTTCTAGCCTGTTAGAGCAGTTTTCTTTGTGAACAAGTAACTTTTTTTGCCTTAAATTTTATTTATTTATATATATATATATGTATATATATATATCACTTTTAGGTAGTGCTTAAAAATTTAAAAGTTTGTTGACTTTCAGGAAAAAATTCTAAACTTCTGGACTTTTCATATCTTTTAAAGCCAGTAATAAAGTACTGAATTAAAGAGACATTCATTCATTTTGGAGAGTTGAAAAACAGAAGTAACTGGCAGGTTTAAAGTACTTGCTGCTGCTTTATGACATAATCACAGATACTGTACCTAACACATAGCACTCGTCATACTGTTGGATGTAAAGTCATATATATAAGTTTTTCTAGAGGGAGGAATTAAGCCTTGAAATAATTCACTAGTAAAGAGGCTTTATAAAGAGTGGGGTCATTACTCTTGAAACCACTTGCTCATTTTTAAAAAGTAATATCAGATTAAGAGTAGTTTTTCCATTGATACCAGCTCATAAATAAAAGCAGCTCTTTCTAAAGCATCTCAATTCTAAAGCCCATATTCATTCTAAATAAAATTGTGTGTGATCATTAAAGACCAGGAATAGAAGTCCCTTCCATATTCTGATTTGAGCAGTTGCACTTTTTCTTTTTAGATAGTCGGAGCAAGTTTCAGTAATAATTCGGCTATGAATGTCGTGTTATTTTTCTTTTAACTCTGTGGAAAATCAAAATGCTAATAAAACTAACATTGATTTTAAGACATTTTAATAAATCTCTACCACAAAGCACTAATGATCCTTTCAACAGATAATTATTCGGCATCTAAAAATGGATGAGACATTGCAAGGAATAATACTACTAATAACAACAGCACTAATAATAAGCCTTAATATGTGTTGAGCACTTGGGATGTGCCAGTTCTGTTCAAAAGCTTTTTACATATCTACTTCCTCATAACAATCTTATAGTATTATTAATCTCACCTTACAGATGGTGAAACTGAATTACAGAGAGGTTAAATAACTTGCCTAAGGTTGTACAGTATGACTAAGATTCCAGTAGTCTGGATCCAGAGCTGTGCTCCTAACCATTATACTAAAGTTATGAAGATAAAAGTGTCTCTCTGCTCTCTAGGTAGCTTGCATACAGTCTTGTGAAACCAAGTAAAACTTCATACAACCAAATAGGTAAATAAATGCCTTCTTTTTGGCAAAAATCTACATCTAAAAGTTTAGATCATTAGGGTTTTAAAAATTCCTCTGTGCACATGCAACAATAATTATTAAAGAAACAATAACAACAAATAATGGTAAATCACTTTTTTGAAGTGATGTCCCATGATAAGAATGAGGTTTTGTTATTCAAGAATCACTTTGAATACATCAATATGTCTTAATTTTCATGATTTTAAAATTTGTAGGCAGAGTTGTTGAATGATTGTATTAGCCATTTTTGTAGATAATTTTCATCAATGTATTAATTTGCTAATATTTTATTTCTACAAGTCTTCTCAAATGGAATATCACTATTTTAAATAAGTCGAACTTTGAAGCATAAAAATGTATACTTTTCCATGCTGAATTACAAAAAGAGGATTTTGGTTAATGGGATAGGTTTGTCTGTGTGTAAACATTCGTTTGTATATATTGTATATGTGTAGATGTTTTTCCCTCTTCAGAGTAAAATTCTCAAGAATCAAATTTTAATGCAGTTTTGATATAAAAATTCTATACTATTTTATTACCAAGATCTTTAAAACAAATGGAATTTGCTATAATTATTATTGGCCTATCACTCCACCAATTTTAAGAGGTATGATATTTGTGTGCCTCTTTTAGGAGAGTAGTATTTCATATCAAAATACATCCTCTATATAGAACACATACCCAGATGCTTGATTTGCTCTCATTATGGCCGCACTCTGATTTTTCTAGCATGGGGGGAGTGGGGGGGCGGTGCCTGATTGGCAGCTCTGTCTTTCGATCTGGCATGGTCCTGTTCATAGTGCTGATTTCAGGGGTTGACTTGCTACAGATTGACAAAAGCTCAAACATATATTATAATTCCAGAATTCTTGGCACTTTATCACAATTATATTTTATTAAGTATACATATGTACAAAATATGTGCACGTACATAACAAAATCATCTTTCAGGGGTGGCACTGGCAAGTCACACTGACTTGCTTTGTTTTGACCAAAAGTTTGGTAGTCAAGATTCACTAACATCACCAAATCAATGCATTAGCATTTAAATTTTAAAGGATTTGAAGTTATTCTTTCTTTAGTCAAGACAAACCCCTTTACATTTTTACCTTGTTGTTATTTATACCACTTAGACTCTATTTGTTCCTATGTCTCTTTTGAGGTTGAACTCTGTAAGTCTTTGAATCTCTTCATAGAGATTGCAATAAATTGTTACTATACATTTGATTGTGAAGGTGCTCACCTTACATTACAAGATGACCCAGCATAGATGAGTATAAAATGTTTATGCAAAAATAGAAATTACGGAATTTTGTCAGGCCTATGAAACACAACTTGCAGTGCAACCTCTGAATGACTTTGCTAAATCTTCTCCAGTGATCTTTTTACTCCATCTTTCTCATCATGCTGACTTGTCTCTCCTCTGTCTGTTCAGCAGTGGGAGACATTTAGTGAACGCTCTTCAAGCTCACAAACTCTGACCCAATTTGATTCTAACATTGCACCAGCTGATCCTGTAAGTCAATCACTTAGCTTGCTTGTTTGAAATTAATTTTATTAACCCAAATTTCCATTCATTATGGTTTTTAGCAGATATGCATGATTCAGTGGAGTGCTTAGAGGGAAATGGTAGCAAGCTTTTCAATTTTTGTGTGCCTAATGGTGGAAAGAACATTTTTTTTTAACCATTGTTTGTATTTTCTAGTTATTTTGGTGAAACTGTATGTTTTAAAAATCTAGTACATGTGTCTAAAGAAGCATTTTGTGACAATTGATTTAGTTGACTTGTTTTCATTTGCTAATTGAGTGTATGTTCTATTAAACATACTATTTATTTTAGTGTAGTTACACTTAGTAAATACTGTTTTATTTGTATGCTTACATATCATGTAATATGTACTACATATGTAAATATGCAATGTCATCTTTTATTTTAATAGTCCAGATGGTATGGCTTTGACTTAAATAGTATGTTGAGTTCTGTTACAAGAGAATCAAGTTCAGCAAAACAACAGAGTTGTTAGTCAAAGATTCCCATTGTGCAAAGGGGCCTGTCTTGTCTTCCTGTGGTTTACTGTGTTGCTTTGAAAAATGCTACAAAGTTCACATCATGATTTCAAAAATAAATTATATTCCCTTAGATTTAATTTAATATATGACCCACCTGTCCCTCAAGTTATTTGAACATTTCAAAACCTTAGTTGCTAATCATTCTTCTCACTGTTCACTCCTGCTTTTTCTTTTTTCTTTTAAAAAGAAGGACATGCTAATAACCACTTTTCAAAAAGAAAAGAGGAAATAAGTAGGAAGGGAAGAAGAGTGTAAAGGTAGGATTAGAAAATGAGCTCAGTGGAAAGATATGGAGAAGGCATTCCTTTTAGATGTTTGATCAAAGACAGCCAGCATTCATGAATTAAATGTAAAAATGGTCTTGTTATTTAATGTGGAATTGGGAGAAGTGGTATTTAAAGATAATAGTACATCAACAGTTTAATGAATCTTTGGTGTGTTTGATAATTTTAAAGACTTTATATCTATTTGAAATACAGAGGATGTTAAATTGATTTCAAATAGATAATGTATGGAAGTGTTTTATAATTAATAATTTAAGAGTCAGTTAATATGTAGATCATCTGTGCCTTTTGCTTCTCTTGCTACTTTGAGGGCATTTATTAATTTTTTATTTTAGTTTCTGAAAAGTGAAGGAGAGATAAAAAGGAAACACAATTTTTGCTGCTTATTATTAAGGTCTCTTGGGAAGTGACAGGTGCTGTAAGCTAAAAGAAAATTTTTCCATATTATTCTTATCTTCTACTTACACAGTCAAGTTAGTTTATTTAAGGTGCTTCATAAAAGCTTCGTATTTTCGGATTCTTTTTTCATTTTGCTTTTCCGGTTGGGTGTTTTTTGCTTCTTCGCATTTCAAATCTTTGGCTTGATTCTTGCGCTCCTCTGGTCTGCTATTGGGTGTAATATTCTTTATTTCAGACCGTGTATGCTTAATTTCTAGTTGTTTCTTTATCATAGCATCGAGGGTCTCATTAGTTTTCGTGAGTCTCTCCTCAAGTTTATTGGCAGCTTCTAGCACATTTTTGCAAGCCCTCAAAATTGCGTTTTTTAGCTCTATATCCTCCATTTCTGTCATGTTTTTTTGTCTCCGCATTTTTTATGCTTTCTTGGTGCACCCCCTAGTGGTCTTTGTGCGCAGTCTTGTTCTAGTTGAGCCTTGATTGTTGTAGTTAATACTAGAGGGATTTGACCACCAGGCCGACTGGCTGTGTGCTCTTATCTTCTACTTACACAGTCAAGTTAGTTTATTTAAGGTGCTTCATAAAAGTACTTCTTTGGGAGCAAAGGTTTGCTGTAGCAATAAAGAAACTCTCTAGTCTGTAACCCTTAAGAAACCATGAAAAGAATTATTCATAGTATTATGATTATTTGTCAGGCCAGGAAAGAACATTACATATAAAAACATAGAATTTGGAGGCAAAATAAATTAACTCATGACTTACAAGAAATGCAGGAAAATATTTGGCTTAATAACAGTGATGTTCTTGTAACCTATTGGAAATAATATCCAAATTTGTGAATTCTTGCTCTAGGGTTTAATATGGCTCAGTACTTTCTTTTGTTATCTCTAGTGTGGCTGGAGGCTCTAGAAAAATTAAAAATTATTCATTGATACTTTAAACTCCAATTTAGACTTCTGAATTTGATAGAGTTGCCAGTCTTAAGTATTTATAATCTGGTACCTAGAAACATCCTTTTTCTTTTATGGTGGCAAACAAATCTAAACTTTGCTCCCCAACTAGTAATTTCTCTTTAAATTTTGAATTAGGAGAATATACTGTTCTCACTGAAGATCTGAATTTCTTAACCCTCATTTAATACTTACTGACATATTTCCTATACATACACTGATAGTAGCTACAATCCCAAATAGTCCTTTGCAAGGTTTATGTAAAAGATTGTAAGTAAATAAGGTCCATTCAGATTAGAACAGAATCATTTAGAAGAAAAAAACACACCACAGTTCTAATGTGAATTTAACATACATAATAGTGTTGGAAATATTTAATGTAATATTTTTTAAAAGCTAAAATTTAATAATTATCCATTTGCTCAATAAAGTGAAAGTCCATGAAGAGCTCCAAACTGCTCTATAGCGCTTAGACAGTGCACTGACCTCACATGCAAACTGCAATGGTTAATGATTAGGCTCCTGGAATAATGATGAAATTGAGTTTCTGACATTTCATTTCCAGAAACTTGATTACTTTTGTTGAACTTCTTATCAGTTAATAGACTCAGGTAGAATCTGCTTCTGCAAGGAAATTCTAGGCTGATGGGAAGTTTCGTGCACTAGTCTTCTCCATGATATCCCTGATCTTGAGTGCTATAGAGCTTCTGAGTACTTTAGAGTACACAAGGGAAGTGAGTTTGATCACTGATTATGCCCAGCCGACTCACCTGGTTTGATGGAGCTCCTTTCTAGGTGCCTGTGATATTTTCTAGGAATACAAAAATGTCAGGAACAAAATTCCAGTCTTAAGTAGACCACACCACAGTTCATTATAAGCTTGATGATTGTAATTCATCTGATTGTGATAATTACCATCCATGGCTATGAACAAAACTCTGGGCAGAGAATCATGGGCCAGCTTACCCCAAAAGGTTCCTATAAAGGAGCTTTTATGCTGAGTTTTGAATGGAACTATGAATTGCCAGATTTGGACAAGAGCATTCCAAGCAGAGCAAATATAATGAACAGGATTAATTCAGTGTGGTGAGAGTATAGGCTAGACATGTATATGGGGGAATGATGGGACTGGGAAGATCTTTGTATGTTAGACCAAGGATCTGAACTAAATCTCATTGACACTGTTGGCTAATAAGAGGTACCATGAGCCCTAGCTGGTTTGATTCAGTGGATGGAGCATCAGCCTGGGGACTGACGGGTCCTGGGTTCGATCTGGTCAAGGGCACATGCCTGGGTTTCGGGCTCAATCCCCAGTAGGGGGCGTGCAGGAGGCAGCCAATCAATGATTCTGTCTCATCATTGATGTTTCTATCTCTCTCTCCCTCTCCCTTTCTCTCTGAAATCAATAAAACTATATTTATTAAAAAAAGAAGTACCATGATAAAATGGGGTCAAGGAAGAGCTATAATATGAAGGATTGATGGGATCAAGAGAGAGATGATGAGCACCTGAACTAAGAAACAAAGTAGGCAGGGCTGGATTCAGATAGACAGGATAATGGGATTTAAATCAAGTAGAAAATATAGATTATGTGAGCATTAATATAATATTCAATAAAATGCTAAATTGTATGAAATCAAATACCCAAATAAATGACACAAATGTGCCATGAGTAATTACGAATGGGTTTCCTAAAGGCTTTGGGTGATTTGAATAGGTGATCTCTATTTTTACATTTAGGGATGCTAGTTTGGAGCAGAGAAAGTGTTACTTTGACATCTTGTAACTCAGGACTCAGAGGCTAGTAGGCATTCATGGTTCTTCATCTGGGATGTTCAAATGCTTAAAGTCAGAGCCCTCTGTCATGCTTTGACTCATTTGTAACATCGCAGTCATAAATGAAGCCTCTGATATACGGTCTCTGGTTTTCAAGGAATTACCTTGTCCTGCTAAGTAGCTAAGACCCGCTGGACTAAAGCTATTGCAGGCTCTTAGCAACCAGTCAGTGTATGGCTGAAGTATGCTATACAAAAAGCTTTGCTGGTACAGAAACTTAAGGAAATTATTTGGATAATGAATAGAACACTCATGATTTTCTTTTCTTGTAGTCATTAATGTACTTCCATTATTGTACTGGAAATATATGAAAAGACTAAATATTTCCAACTGTTATAAGCTTTATAAATTTGATTTTATAAACATACACATAGAATATATGTTAGATAAATACTACGAGTTTAAAGCATCTAATAAATTATCCTTGCTTGTTTTTTTCTAGTTTTGGGGGGTTTGTAATAAGAACTTATTGTGTCACAAACTATCATTTCTTTCTCCTTTAATCTTGCCTTATATTAAATTCTGATTTTCATAGCAGCTATTTCTGCTGTTAAAATTGTAAGTTAAGAAAATAGTATTGGAGCACTGGAGATCTTGCTCCCTAGCAACTGTTATGATTTTGGCTCAAATAAAATCTTATAAAACGTTTCTACAGTTGTTGACATTCTTACCTCTGCAGTCCCAAAGCCACATGTGTTTGTTGAGTGGCAGGCCAAGGCAAAACACCTCATCAGAGAGGAAATATGCAAATTCACAAACATGGATGCTCATGAAAAAAAGAAATCAGAATAACTGATGTGTCTTATTTACACTTATTTTCTTACTGTCTATATTTTCAGTGTTTACTTGGTTTTAGGAACTGGTTAGATATTTTTACATGTTAACAATTTCTTTTGTTTAATGTTCATAATCCTGTAAAGCCAGATCTAAAATCTTTCTTGTACAAATAAAAAGTAAAAGTTAAAAACCTTGAGATTTTGACAAGTTATATATCTTGCCAAAAAAAGAAAATAGTATTTATTTCTAAAGCCATGTTTTTATAACCGTAACATTTTAAGTGTATTGTTATAAATATTTTCCTGTGAGTGACTCATTATCATGTGAGAAATCTAAACTTCTATCCACTTGTAATGTTCACCTTTATAACTGTAATTGTAGAGTTGTAGGGGAAATGTTAGTTCATTTCGATTGGATAATACATGAACCCTGTCCAGTATTTCACTGATGTAGAGGCAGGAAAATGCTATGAAAGGATTTATCAGTATAATTGCAATAAAGAATTTGTTTGTTATAAATTGTTCGAATTTAGAGATTATAAGAATAAGCCAAGGAGAGCTACAAATAAGAAATGGTATACTGGAACTTTCTCTAGCAGAGGCTTGGTGTTAGTACTGTCACCAAAATAGTGTTGGATTTAAACTGAAAGATCATTATCCTTTACATTAAATTATAAACTTAACTCAACTAGATATTCAAAATTTAAGGATCTAATATTCAGTCCTTAGCAGCAGCACACACAAAATGCGAACTGACTCCTCATACAAGGAGCTGAGCCTCCTTCCCAGTGTTTTTCATCTGGTCTGTAGCTGTTAAGCCAAATGCTTGATCCTATTCTGGTTCTTCCACTGGTATGGCAGCTCCCAGCGTCAGGCTTACCTGTGTACCCAGGTGTACCTTTCTCTTCCTTTCCTTTCAGAGAGGCTATCATCTGTCTTCATCTTCTCTTCCTGGCCTTACTCTCTCACTCTGAAAAGTCTCTTCTATCAGTTTCTTTACCCTTCTAACTAGACTTGCCACTAATGAAGTTTAGGAATATCAGATGTATTATAATTTTGAATGGCTTAAGAAAATCTTAGAATCTTAGAGTAGTAGTCTTATCCCTCTTAAAAACTGGATCCCTTGGTGGAAATGTTAGGCTAAATTTTAAAGTTCTATAATCTGTGAAAGTATGCATTGTGCCTACTGTTACAGTATAGCAGGCATCTCTTTAACTCTGTTTTATAGATGAAAAAGTTTGAAATTTTCTTGAGCAGTTTCCTGAAAATGAGTTTGGTCTACTACTTAATTTGGATTCTAATGAAGTAGTTTGTTTCACTTTAACCTGAGAGGTTCAAATTTGTATGATTTCATCAGATCATTTCACACTTTGAATACTATCTTAAACTGTATTTTTATAAGGTTATTGTTTTTATTCAAATCTTTAATCACTCAAAAGTTAAAATGTATTTTTAATAAAAAAATCAGATTATTAGGCATGTACTTGATTTTTTTACGTATAATTCTATAATTTTAATTTAAAAATTCATTTTCATGTTTGCTTTAGTGTGAATGAGAGAGTCTATCCACCAGTTTTTAAAATATTGTTAATTTTTATTATTTCTTGGTGTCAATTTGGCATTTTTAATACAAATTCTGTATTTCCTCTCATTTGTTCCTAGGATACTGCTATTGTTCATCCAGTTCCCATTCGTATGACTCCAAGCAAAATCCACATGCAGGAAATGGAACTTAAAAGAACTGGCAGTGGTAAGCAATCTGTGGCTGGTCTGTATTAGGTTAGCAGGTAGGATTTTAGGTTAGCTTCAACTACATAAATGCAGAAGTAATTATTCTATCAGGCTTCAGATTTCTTTCATAATTGCTTATTTTTAACATAGTACTTTCTACAGTTATACATATATGTGTGTGCTTATGTGTATTTTAACTTATTTTACAGTTTTTAAAAGGAAATTATTGAATTTAAATTTTAAAACTTAAATAAGGACATTGAAAATATGAATTTTCTGATACTGTGTTTTTATGATCATTTTTGTGAATTTACATTTAAAGTATGTTAAAATTGTAACTGAAGAAGCATATGTTAAAGTGAGTTTTGGCTTTGAAATTCTTTTGCTTAAATTCTTGAATTTTCTTCTCATTTTAGTTTTTTTTATCCTCACCCAAGAGTATATTTATTGATTTTTTTTATTTTTTGAGAGAGAGAGAAACATCAATCAGTTGCTTCTCATATGAGCTTCAACTGGGGATTGAACCCACAACTTGGCTATGTGTCCTGACCAGGAATCAAATCCACAACCTTTTGGTGTACGGGAGGACACTCCAACCAACTGAGCCACCCAGTCAGGGCAATTTTCTCCTCATTTTAGATTAAATGTTTTATAATTAGGGTTTCTCAAAGATAAATTTATTTCCTATATTAGTCAACATCATAAATTACTTATTTATAACCATTTGTGTGTTGTTTTGTTTAAATAATTACTTATCTAAAGGGATAAAATTAACAAAATATGAACATGCAAATTGACTTTTTATTGTAAAATATCTTCTATATGGCAGAAAACAAAATTCTATATAAATAGATTTATATTTGTTTTTTTTGTTTGTTTTTTTAATTTTTTTTGGAAAATATATATTTTATTGATTTTTTACAGAGAGGAAGGGAGAGGGACAGAGAGTTAGAAACATCAATGAGAGAGAAACATTGATCAGCTACCTCCTACACACCCCCCACTGGGGATGTGCCCACAACCAAGGTACATGCCCCTGACTGGAATCGAACCCGGGACCCTTCAGTCCCCAGGCCGACGCTCTATCCACTGAGCCAAACCGATCTGGGCTATATTTGTTTTTATTAAAAATATTATTTTGTATTATTTTCCATGGATTTATTGGCTACTTCTTTGGAATATCTAAATGAGGTCTCATATACTCTGAGCTTTATAAATTTATTAATTCAAATGCCTTTATCTTATATTTTTACTTACTAATTTTCTTTTCTACTAGATCATACTAATCCCACTAGCCCATTACTTGTGAAAACATCTGACCTTTCAGAAGAAAATAAGATAAATTCATCAGTAAAATTTGCTTCTGGAAATACTGTAGGTAAGTGAAAGATACCATGACATCTTCCACTAGAAGTTTATTAAGTCTGGATTTAGAGCCTGAATGATACAAACGTATAGCCATTTAATATTATCTTCACTGAATAAAGTATAGAATAGTCAACCCTTTTAAACACCCTACCCGCTGTATGAGTAAATGTGTCCCCATTGCCACCTGAACCTCTTCAGGGCAGGCCTCCTGTTTGCCATTCCTCTCAATTAGCCAGATTTAGTCCATTGGCTCTTTCCCACTAGATCCTTTCTTTCTCTCACAAGAAATTGTGTATATATTCAGTCATTCAGCCAGTGTTGATTGAATACTATGTGCCAGGCTCTGTTCTAGACACTGGGGATTCAGCAGTAAAATAAACAAACAAAAACCTTTGCCTTTATGGAGCTTACATTTTGTAGGGGAGATAAGATGAAAAGGGGGGGAAAATAACTCATGTCCTAGGAGGTGATTAACACCCTGGATAAAAATTAAGTTGGGAAAGGGGAAAGGGAGTGACATTTTCAATTAGCTGGTTAAAGAAGGCCTTACCAAAAGATGACATTTGAGTTAAATCTTAAAGGAGTAGAGGGATTTGGCTGGGTGAATTTCTGAAGCAAAGGCATTTTAAGTCACAGAAGTAGCAAATGTGAGGCTCTGATTTAGGAAACATGCCATACATCTGCTGGGAACAGCAAGCAAACACCTAGAATAGAACTACTTAGCAAATTGAGCAGGTAGAGGTAGCAAATGTAGAATAGTAACCTGAGAGCAGGTTAAGATGGACTCTTACTGAGTGAGATGAAAAGCTGTTAGAGGGTTTTGAATGGAGAAGTGACATGTTCTGACCTTCCTTCTTTAACAGAATCACTCTGGCTGCTATACTGGTAACGAGCCAAAAGGCAAGAGCCAAAACAGGGAAAGATTATTTGGGGGGCAGTTACTAGTATAATAATGCAGATAAGTGAAGATGATGGCTTGGTCGATGGTGGTGGCAGTAGAAATGCTGAGAAATGGTCAAGTTCTGGCTGTATTTTGTAGGGAAAGACCACAGGATTTGCTTATCTATGTGATATAGGATATGTGAGAAAGGACTCGGGGTGGCTCATGGGATTTTTGGCCTGGGCAACTGGGAATTGAGGATGACTGTGGTAGGAGTAGGTTTGTGGGGGAAGAATAGGAGTTCAGTTTTAGACATCTTAAGTTTGAAATACCCATTAGAACATCCAAATAGAAATATGCTAGCCTTATTCTTTACCAATTAAATAATTCAGTGATTTGACAAGAAAAGGGATACATTTTGAAATATGTCCAAACAACCAGTCCCTTTAAGTTATAATTCTTGAAAATGAATAGGTAGTTTTCCTTTATATTGTTCCTAGAGTTCCTATTTTAAAATTCCTTTATTATGTCACAATTGTCAGTCTACTTCTGGATTCTCTGCTCCTTCATAGGACTTTGAAGAAGTTGAAAATGATATTTCCTCAGGTGAAAAATTAGGAACCTCTAGCTAATTTCATAAATTTTATTATTGCCTAAGCACATTTTATTTTCTTGTGAAACTTTTAATTTTTCACATTAACAATTTTTAAATGTTTTCTTTATTTAAAATACTTCTAATTTGTTCTTTAAAAATGATTTTTATTACAAAAGTAATTCACACTTACTGTAGAAGTATAATAAAAATAAAAATGTTTATAATCTCACTGTTTCACAAATGACCATGGTTAGCATTCATTGTCAAGCTTAATCACCATTCTGTGCATATGCCATATTTTTATATAAAATGAAATTGTAATGTATGTACTGTTTTGTGATCCTTTTTATGTGACTTATTTTGAATATTTATGGTATTAAATGTTAACTTTTCTAGATTATAACTTACATTATATGCATAGTATTTTGTTGTATAAATAAGCAATTATTTATTTGATTTGTATTTAATTTTTTTACAATATACAAAATACATTTAATTTTTATAATAAAACTGGTATGAACTGTTAGCCAGTCTGAATATCTCTGATTTGAAACAATAATTCAGTTATATTTGTTTGGGGCACATAGAGTTAAAGTGAAAAAAATGATTATTATTAAGTAGGCTATATTCCATTTATCAGCAGATGGTTACAGTAGTTCAGACTCTTTTACTTCAGACCCAGAACAGATCGGGAACAATGTAACTCGTCAAAGGTCAGTATTTCTGTCAATAAAAAGCATATTAAAATATCTTGTTATATTTTAATACTTAAAATTATGTAGGACCAAGTATAAATTACATATTTTTGTCTATTCTTTAGTTCTTCACTTCTCTGAAGGCTGTTAGGTTATCTATTGATTTATGTAAAAGGGAAGTAATTTTGATTTTTTTTCCAACTTGAATAGAAAACAGATGAAACCCTTATTATCTCATGGCATTCTGTGGAAGGTTTAAGAAGGACTGATAACTTCTTGATAGTAGCAATTTAATACAGTTCTTTCTTTAGGTAAACTGAGTCTCTTTAAGTGATAAATGTGCAGATTTCCTTTTATAGCCTTATGGCAAGTACCAAAAGAATTCTGTGTTTTAAAATGCTATCCAAAATCCCAGCCCAGTGTTGGGCTACCTATTTACCCTGAAGATCTGTGTTACATTCAACTTTTCAGGCATAAACTAAAAAGGTGAGGGTGGAAAGGGTTTGTTTTCAAGGGCTTTACTGTCCACAGAACACTGTGTGCAGGACAGAAGCATCTTTCTCCTCTCACTTCTTATGTGTGGTAAGTATCCTTTTGCCACACGCCTAGAGGATGTAGAGAGAGGCTAGTAATATAGAATCACCAATGATCTCAGAGTCAGAGGCGGCTGCTTCATAGTTCTTCCTGTGTTTCTTAAAATTCTCAGTCATCTTGGATTTTATTCTGCTTTTTATCCCTATAAGTGAGGATTAGATTTTCAGAGTCCATGAGACTCTTTTCAGAATATAGAAAAAGTTGGTGGCAAAGAAGTGCATCTCCAGGTGAGTTGAGCATGAGTACAGCCACCTCTAAAATGGGATGGCCTGTGGTAACAGGAATGGGAACTGCAGATAGTGAGCCAGATTCTACCTCAACTTGCCAAACTCCAGACTTTAAGTTGAAAACTGTCCATGTCTGAAAGTAGTTTGTTTGTTTGTTTAAGATTTTTTTATTGATTTTTAGAGAGAGAGGAAGGGGAGGGAGAGAAAGAGAAACATCGTAAGAGAGAAATATTGATTGGCTGCCTCCTGCATGCCCCTTATCAGGGATCGAGCCCACAACCCAGGTATATGCCCTGGCTGGGAATCTAACCAGCTACCTTTCTGTGCATAGGATGGCATTCACAGAACCCGAACCACACTGGTCAGGGCTAGAGTTTTTGGTTTGTTTTTTTTTTAAATAAGTATTTTAAATACCTATAATTGAATGGGAAAAAATTACACTAGTTTTGCAGTCTACCTTAAATTCTTGTTAATAACTTTCTTTTCAATTTTTTGAAATATTGTTAAATATAAAATTATACTTTATAAAAAAGATTATTTTCCATATTAAATAACCACTTGTGGAATGCACATCATAAATAATACTGGCTTTACTCATTGTAATATGTGTATACCTACTTGAGAAAATATCCTTTGCTGCTTAGCAAAGTTTGAATGCTTAAAAAGAAAAAGCTCCAGTCTCAGTAGCATGACCAACTGTAATGTGGTGACTTTTTGCAGGTCTCATTCAGGAACATCCCCTGATAACACTGCACCACCACCTCCCCCTCCAAGGCCACAGCCCTCGCATTCTAGATCGTCATCTTTAGACATGAATCGGACCTTTACAGTCACCACAGGTAGGGGTTAGAGAGCTGTGAATCAAATTATCATTTGATTTAAAGTCATTAAGGACACACAACATCTTATTTTCTCAACATGTCTGTTTTTATATTTATCCAAAGAAGAAATTGGGATTTAAAAAGTATCAGAGAGGGAATTTTTTTCTTAATGTCTATCTAAACTGTGTTTGAATTCAAGTGATAAAGATGGGAACCTGAGAGATGCCACAGAGATTGTAAAAGTATGATATGGTGATATCAAGGAGGAAAAGCTAATAGGTCTTAAGTTAGCAACAAAAGAGAGTGAGGACCCACAGCTTACTCCAATATTTTAATTTTTATATAAACGGTCAATCAAAATAAAAAATTAGGACACTGGGTAATGATGTCCTATTTGGACATTGTAAGTTTGGAATTATGAGGAAAAAGAAATAATCAACAGGCCACTGGATTTGTGGGCTAAGAAAGATTAATCCATTATTTGAGAATCATTTTCATAGAAACAATAGAGTTAATTATTAATTAAAAGAGAAAATTGGAAGTCCTCATATTTGATAGCTAAAGATCAGTCAGAATATGGAAAGAAAACCAAGAATGTATAGTATTATGGAGACAAGGGGGAACATGTCAAGAGTGCCCTGTACAATTGAACAAGAGAAATGGATTCTGAGAAAAGACCATGAGATTTGGCCATTAGATCACATCTGTGCCTTCCTATACTTAACAAAGCAATCTTTTAGAAATCTTTATCATTTGATCATATTCATTCAACCTGTTCTACTAGCAAAGTAATTATATACTTACTAAAAAGAAGACTTGTATATTCACACAGGACAACAACAGGCTGGAGTTGTTGCCCATCCTCCTGCCGTGCCTCCAAGACCACAGCCTTCACAGGTATTCTGCAACATACTCATTACTAAACATCAGTTATTACACTCCTCATGATTAACTTATCTATTAGGTGTTTGATTCTATTCTAGAATTATTTTGAAGATCCAGAATTACCGAATTTTCATTCTTACTGAGCATTTAATTCAGGGAAGATAAGTCTTATTTTGAAAGAGAATTCCAATAATAATTTCAGTTATTTTTTTAAAGACGCTGCTAGTGAACCAAATGATAGTGTCTTGACAAAGGAGAGTTTAGTTGGAAGAACTGGATTGAGAGATAGGAGATGGAGATGGCCATCTGTGTCTTGGATCTAGCAGTGACTAAGAGTGACCTCACTGCGTCGGTCTGGATGTGTTACTGCATCAGTAATGGAAGTGTCAGATGACCTCTGCATCCCTGCCAGGTTGAAATTGTTTTGATATGCACAAAACTATTATGTTCCAGGGTAGATTCTGGATTATAGCTGTTAGTTTTATGTCACTGACTGACTACCTTTTACATGAATGAATTTGGTTGATTTTTTTGAGTTAGAGTCTTAAAGTGAAGTTGAGTATTTACAGTTAAAAAGATGCTTAATCATAAAAGATGCTGAAATTTGAATATTCCAGTATTTATTTTATCTAAAGTGCTAGCAAAAATATTCTTACTGGGGTTAAGCTGTGAAACCCAGTGAGTTGGTCTCTTGGCTCAAGATCCGGTCTAGTGGGGAAGACAACTCTAAAGAATTGTAAGGGCAACAGTAGATGTGTTTATGAAATGTTTTGCTACATCTTTACTAGTTAGTAAAGTCAGGGATCACAGTGAAAAGGTATAAGTAAAGTGAAGGAAGTAACACTTAAGTAGAGACTTGAAAAATAAAGTTGTATTGGTTTGGGAGAAGGCTTTCCAACCAGACAGAATGGCATCCACAAAGTCATACAAGTGTGGGGTAAGTCTTCAAGGAAAAATGAGTTAGTTTAGAACAGCTGGAATGATGGGAAAGGAAACTGAAGAGGTCCGAAAGGGGCAGAGCATCTCCTATATCATTATAAGAAGGATACAATTTTTCTCAGAGGAGATGGAAACTTTTTAAAGGGTAAGCAAGGAAGAGATTTCTGATTTATTCCTATAGCGTCCTATACTTCCTTTGTCATAAAACTTTCACACTCTATTTTAATTCCTTGTTAACCTATGTCTTATCCTGCAGTAGACTGTCAGCTTTATTGGGCATGGACCTTATTTGTTTGTTCACTGTTATAACCATAATGCTTGGCCAAAAGTAGGTTCTCAAAAAATATTTTTGAAGATTGTAGAAGGATTGGCCTGGCAATGGAGTAGAGGATAAATTGAAGAGAAGCACACTGAAGTGTTAGAAGAATAATTAGCACACTGATTTCTACACTTTAAAAAAAATAACCTTTTTATAAACATAATGAAACATTAAAAAAAAATAACTTGTTTTGAAGAACAAACAATTGCACAATAGCCCAATTAAGAAAAAAATAGATGCAAGTGAGAATCACAGAGTAGAACCTAACTTTCCCCTCTCCTTATGCACTTTCTTTGCAATAAGAATTTTGTAAAAGTATTTGTCTTATTGGGGTTTTGTATCTTACTTTTTTTTTTTTAGTGTCTTAGCATTTCTCTTCTGGGTTTTTTAGAGCTAAATGTTTCTGTAGCTCACCTCCCTGAGTTTACAGATAATAAAACAGAGCATCGTTTTAATAATATTTTAAAAGGAAAAGAGGCCACTTGGTGACTGGTACACCAATGAACTGTTTGTTCCTCTATTCTGAACCATCGTGCAGGCTCCTGGTCCCACAGTGCATCGCCCAGTGGATGCCGATGGCATGATAACTCACACTAGTACCTCACCTCAGCAGATACCAGAACAACCAAATTTTGCAGATTTCAGCCAATTTGAAGTATTTGCTGCATCAAATGTAAATGAAGAACAAGATGATGAAGCTGAGAAACATCCAGAAGTCTTGCCGGTCAGTTTTTAAGGGCTTATCTAATTTTCCATTGGGACTCTTTCCATATCTTGCTCAGAGCCGGTCTGTAAACAGAGGAGCCTCTAAAAGAGCAGATATTAGAGTGAACATCAGTGAGCAAAATATCTGCTGCTGCTGCTTTAAGAGGATTTATATTCCCTAGGCCAGTACTTCTCAATTTTTTCATTGACCTTAAACTCCTGCTAATTGCAGTGTATTACTTTAATAAGAATCAGAATCTGGGTGGGAGTAGCTGTAGTGTGAAAAAACACTGCTCTGGGGTTGCATTTTTTTTTTGAATCCTCACTCGAGGACATTTTTCCATTGATTTTTAGAGAGGGAAAGACAAAGAAACATTGATTTGAGAGAAACACATCGATTGGTTGCCTCCTGCACATGCCCGACTAGGGCCCGGGCCTGGGCCAGGGAGGATCCTGCAACTGAGGTACATGTCCTTGACCAGAAACGAACCTGGGGCCCTTCAGTCCTCAGGCTGATGCTCTATCCACTGAGCAAAACCAGCTAGGACTGGGGTTGCATCTTAATGCTAAGCTTCTGACTGTGTGATTTGGTGAAGATATCCATGTAGCAATAGGCTGTGGTTGCCATAGCTACACTCAGTTTGCAAGTCACTTTAGTTAGACTTACACACTACAGGATGCCAAAATGTACCGTGATCTCTGGGTACAATGCTCCTGGAGACTGTTTACTTCTAGTTGCAAGACCTTCTCTAGGGGTCCCTGACCTCACTAACTATAAATGTGGAATTGGAGGGACCAAAGGAATTCTAAAACCTTGGTTCTGATTGTCTCAACCTAGATAGAGCCTCTCTGACAGATCCCAAAATCCATGTTCATTTGACTGGCATCATTCAGCCAAAGGTTTCTTATAGATCTGATCCGTAATAAATTTCTAGCCACTTCTTCAAGCCTGTAACCTGTCTCACAGTGGGGTCACAGGGTATGGCCTGCACCTCCAGGAAGGCAGGGGGGCACCTGAGGGGAAGTACGAGTGTGCACAGGGTGCTGGTCCTCATGCCCCTGGATGGATGCATCCCTCCCAACCTAAAGAACTTCCTAAATTCCCTATGGCTGCATCCTCAGCCCTCCCCCTCGCCCTCACATCTGTTACCTTCCCTCCTCTCTGCTCTTCAGTCATAGAGAATGGTCATTTTACAGGGTTTTCTCAAATTCCTTCTCATCTTCATCTCAGATTCCTTATTGTCATAACGAATATTTTCTTAACATTTTACTCTGGTGCTTTATGTATGTATTTATGCATAATTATATATTACTTATATATAATTAGTAATAATATATTCATTTCTAGGTTGAAAAAGCTTCTGATCCTGCAAGTTCTCTTCGAGTTGCCAAAACAGATAGTAAAATTGAAGAAAAGACAGCTGCTAGTGCTCCCGCCAATGTGGTATGCAAGAAGTCTTTTATAATGTTGATCATTTTGTACGTAAAAAAGAGGAGATCATTTATACTTTTTAAGATTTTAAAGATGACAAAAATCTTAGAAATAAAGTTAGAGAACATCTAACCCATTCCTTTCACTGTAGCATCTTTAGTCTGTCTCAGAATATGATCTGCCTGTTAAATATTCTAGATGATAGTCTATCATCCATATAAGTAAATGCCACAGTTCTTAAAAGTTATGTGGTGTTACAGTCTTCTAAGTACATAAAGTAGAACTTCCTTATTGATCATATTCAGGTGTGGGGGTTTTTTAAGTATAATAGGGAAAATTATATTGACCCTCTAAGGTTAATGTTATATTCTGTGCTCTTTTCTTCAACTGTTTTAGGGATAATTTTTTTCTCCAGCATTTTATGAAAATTTTTAAGCATACAGAAAATTGAAAGAATTTTACATTGTATATCAATTAATATTTTACCATACTTGCTTTATCACATATCTTTCTATTCTTGTATCTATATCAGCAATTTTTAACCTTTTTAATCTAATGGCACATATAAACTAATTACTAAAATTCTGTGGCACACCAAAAAATATATATTTTGCAAAAAAATAGACATACTTTTGATTCATTCACACCAAATGCCTATTGTGTTAGCTGTTGTCATTTTTCTGTTTGACAGTGTAAGGAAAAAGAGGTCACTGCTCCTAACTGAACTCAAGAATTGCGTGGTTTAAAATTTTTTGTGCACACTGGTTGAAAATTACTGATCTTTGTCAATCCTTAACTGCTATTTGCATACTTTCCCCTTGAAAGAAAAATTTTGCTAATTTTTTTCTCTATTTTCATCCAGTCATTTCTGATAGTTATTAAAGTAGCATTTGTTTCTGAAAGTGTTTAAATTCTACTTTATGAATACTTTATTGTTTACTACATTAGTAATTCTGTGGTGTGTTTTTTATTTTATTTTTTATTTTTTTAAATATATTTTATTGATTTTTTACAGAGAGGAAGGGAGAGAGATAGAGAGTTAGAAACATCGATGAGAGAGAAACATCGATCAGCTGCCTCCTGCACATCTCCCACTGGGGATGTGCCCGCAACCCAGGTACATGCCCTTGACCGGAGTCGAACCTGGGAACTTTCAGTCCGCAGGCTGACGCTCTATCCACTGAGCCAAACCGGTTTTGGCAGTGTTGTTTTTTAATAGTTAATTTTTGTCAGCTCTTGTTAACAAATTAAAAATAGCACTTAACCAAAGAGATGGTAGTTGAGTCTTTTCATTTATTAACAAGTCAAGTCAGACTATGGTAAATACTAAAATACCATATTTAATTCTGTTGAAGGCAGATTCACAGTTTCCAACAAAATGTCTACTCATTTTCATTAGTTATAATTATTATGCACCTTAGTGAAGGGTTTTTTTAACAGTGCCTAACTTACCACTTCTTTATAAATGGCTTTATTCATTAAGATGATGTATTTTTAGCCCTGACTGGTTTGGCTTAGTGGCTAGAGCATCGGCCTGCGGACTGAGGGGTCTCAGGTTCCATTCCGGTCAAGGGCATGTACCTTGGTTGTGGGCACATCCCCAGTGGGGGGTGTGCAGGAGGCAGCTGATCGATGCTTCTCTCTCATTGATGTTTCTGATTCTATCCCTCTCCCTTCCTCTCTGTAAAAAATCAATAAAATATATATATATAAAAGATGATGTATTTTTAGTATTTTTGAGTAGGAAATTCTATGGTGATAATGGGTGTACATTCCTGGACACTTTCTTTTGTATTTATTGAACAGATATATATTGAGCATGTGTCATGATCATGTTAAATCTGTGACTATTACAGACTTGAGTCAGATTCGGGTCTGATATTACCCTTTAAAAATTGTCTAGTCAGTACATTCACAATTGTGATGTCAAGTAGGAACATCTCCTATTGTAACTTAAGTCAGGTGTTACAACAAATTGTAAATTGTTTTAAAGTAGTAAAAGTGATTTAATTTTTGGAGAATAAGTGGCTTTTACGGAAAGCAAATGATGTTGACAAAATTCTGACTAACCATGAATGTCTTCAGGAAATGCTTCATTATTAATGGAATTCTTGTCTTCCAGGGCAAAGGTACAACACCTCTTGCTCCACCACCCAAACCTGTTCGAAGAAGATTAAAATCAGAAGATGAGTTAAGGCCTGAAGTTGATGAACATACACAAAAGACAGGTGTCTTAGCTGGTGTTCTTGCATCACAGCCTTCTATTCCTAGGTAATCAAAGCTATCCTAAATACAGTTAATTACTAGGAACAAAAAGTACAGCAATTAAAAATATCAAACGGAAAGAAATTATGGTCAGACTAGTTCTGTAGTTAAAGAAAGCTTCTTAATTGTTGCTCTTTGAGAGTTTTCTCATTTATGAGTAGGTAGAATATTCTTTCCACTTTTCCCTTCTATTATTAAGTTCTTTTCCAATTTCATTTTAGTACCCTATTGCACACTTTTAAAAATTAATAGTGTAGAGTAACACTGATATTTTAATTCTAGTTCTTTTAGACCAGGACGTGGCAGGCTAGGTCTCATGGGCCAAAGTCAGCACATGGCCTGTGTTTGTAAGTGCCATGAGCTATGGCTTTTACATTTTTGTAAAAAAAAAAAAGAGAGAGAGAGAGAGAACAAAAATATGGCCTTCAAAACCTAAAATATTTACTGTCTGGCCGTTTATAGAAAAAGTTTGCTGATGCCTGCTCTAGACTAACTTAAGTGATTTTACAGAAGAAGAATTAAATAACAAAAATTAAGCTTCTGAAGCTTAGATACTTTTGGTTGCCATTGAAACTGAGTAAATGAGGTTAAGCTAGACTGATAAGGCAAAAAATGCTCCTATTTTCTGGTTTACAGGTAGATCATGGAAGAATGGAGAGAATTTAAAGATAAGAAATGACAAGGTTATTTACTTATTTTGCCCTCTTTATCTCTCAGGTCTGTTGGGAAAGATAAAAAAGCTATTCAGGCATCAATTAGACGCAATAAGGAAACCAACACAGTTTTGGCCAGATTGAATAGTGAATTGCAGCAACAATTAAAGGTAATGTGGTTTCTGAATGTTTGGGAAGTTCCATGGGCACTGAGCATCTCAGGGTTGAACTGGAACTTAGAGGTGATCCAGCAGTGCTTATACTACTATGAAACTTGCTATGTAGCAAGAGAAATATGTATCTAAAATGTTTTATATACCTTTGAGTCTTTTAATATTAAAAAGAATATTTTATACTAAATGCTGATATGATTACCTTATAAAGGCATCGCTATTCTTATAATGTTCCTTTACTTTTCATAATGAAACACCGGAGAGGAAATATGGTGACTTTAGGTACCTCTAAGATCACATACATGGCTCTCTCTACACCAGGGGTCCTCAAACTTTTTAAACAGGGGGCCAGTTCACTGTCCCTCAGACCGTTGGAGGGCCGGACTATAGTTTAAAAAAAAACTATGAACAAATTCCTATGCACACTGCACATATCTTATTTTGAAGTAAAAAAACAAAACGGGAACAAATACAATATTTGTATTTGCATGTGGCCCGCGGGCTGTAGTTTGAGGATCCCTGCTCTACACTCTTATTTAATTCTGATTTGAGTATCGTCAACTTATCCTTTTATCAAAGATAACTCAGATTCTCTTAAAGGGACTAAACAGGTCTAAAGAAGAAGAAGGATGGAGGCAATTTAGATCATCTTGCATGTGGAAAAGACAAGCCTTAAATAGAAGTGCTTAGGACCAGTGTGTATTCCTGTCATCTGTACTTGAGAAAAATAGTTTTATTTTTCTTACTTACTCTAGCCAAGATTTTTTTCAATCCCTGTGAATAAAAATTAACAACCAGAATCATTTATGGCTTAACATTATTATGCACTCATGTTTTATAAACCAGTGTTTCTCAAACCTTAATGTGTGTGTAGTTAATCTGGGATCATGTTAAATGCAAATTCTGACTCATATTAGGTATGGAGTGGACCCTGAGAATTCTGCATTTCTCATCAGCTTCAGATATTGGAGATGCTGCTGGGCTGTTGAGCCGCTTTGGGTAGCAAGGTTGTAAACCACAAAAATGAGTAGAAAAGAGTTTGCAGAAATGTAAAATGAATACAGAGTTCGTTCATTTCCATCACATGTTCATATTCTCATCAGCATTTGTCACACTGTCCTGGAGTTATTATCTCTGGCACATTTGTCTCTGCCCTACTAAACTGAACTCACCAAGGATTAATTATAATTATTTCTGTTTAGGATAACTATATAATTTATGCCTAAACCTTTGATTAAAAAGATACTTTTGATTACAAAGAGGGAGTGAGGTGTTAGTACTTAGGCCAGGACATCAGAGGTAAACTGGAACTGTCCTAGATAAACTTGTAACTATCTTGTCTCCATCTCCTAAACCTAGCACATGTTAGGTCTTTAGGGTTCCCAGACCCAATTCCAATATTAGGAGGTGGTCCCCCATGCCAACAAACAGTTCTGACACTGGCAGGGTCTCTGAGAATTCAGCTTAATTCTGACATTGTCTACCTGGAGATAATACTAGATTCCAGAGGTTAAGAGCTTCTGACCAACTGGCTACAGATGGAAGTTCCAATACCACCACTCCCCACCTCCTCCAACTAAGAATGCTAATCACAAGTCCAGGTTGTTACTGGTACTTCTGACCAACTGGCTATGAATTAGAGGTTCACATAGCCCCCTCCTGGGGTTCCATTAATTGGCTAGAACTCAGAGAAATGTGTCCCTTATTAAGAACACTGGTTTTAAAAGGTTCCAACTCAGGAACAGCCAGATGAAAGAGATGTATAGGGCAAGGTATATGGGAAGGGGGCAAAGAGCTTCCATGCCTTCTCCAGGTGGCACTCTCCCCACATCTCCATGTGCTCACCAATCCAGAAGCTCTCCAAATACTGTCCTGAGGGTTTTTACAGAAGCTTCATTACTTAGGCATGATTGATTAAGTCATTGGTGGGTCCTGTTGATTCAACCTTCAGCCAGGGATGGGACTGAAAGTTCCAACTTTCTAATTGCTTGGTTGGTTCTCCTGGCAACCAGCCTTAGGTGCTTTCCAAAAGTCATTTTCATTAGTATAACAAGATACCTTTTCCCCCCAACCCAAATGCTTGGGAAATTCCTAGGGCTTTTGGGAGCTGTGAGCCAAGAACTGTGGATGAAGACCAAATATGTATGAGATATACAGAGTTTGGGCATCTGAATGACAAATGTATTATTTCTTATAAATCATAATATCGCATTAGGCATTTGATAAATGTCTGTTGAATGAATGATATTCTTACAAAATTCTTTGATCAAAGAAGACATAGTTGGTCTATGATTATAAATTTGGTTTGTTGTAAAGGAATAATATAAAACTTAGGGCAAGCTTGCTAGTACCAAACTGAAGATGAAAATTTTGTTCATGGGTGTTTTTCTGAAGAACTAAAGAAAACCATAGAAACATGTATATAGGAACCATTTTAAGAATCACCCTTCTCATTATTTCTGAGAATAGAAAATAGGAAATATGGTACCAAATAGGAAAAGGTAGTTCTGGTTGAAATACGATATTATCAGTATTATGGAGGGGCGGGGGGAGTAGATAAATTAGAATTTGCTGGCTATCTGCAAAGACTGCTCAAAATCAGCAGTGATTAGAAATTCTATTCCAAAATAAGTTTATTCTTTGTGAAACTGAAACTCAAAATGAGGTTCAGGCATTGCTATAACCAGATGTAATCACCAGGGGAAAGAATTTATGTTAGTTAACTTATCTACAGTTACTGCAAGGGATATGATTCACGCATAATAGCCATTGTTGTGGCAGAATGCACGGAGAACGATCAGCCAGCACTCTGAGGGAGGAAAGTTTAACCTTTATTTTGCAGATCTGATTGTTCAGGAGAATTCTGGATCCAAAGCCTAAACTGAACTTGTGGGGAGGCTCTGACCTATATAACTCCTCCCGTGGCTGCGTGGCTGGCCCCTGAGGGTCCCCGCAGCTCTGCCCAAGTCAGTCTTGGCGGGGCCTTGGGGGCATGCTCCGCAGCTCCGCCCTAGTCAGCTGTGGCGGGGCTCTGGGTTAGTCTCTGCAGCTCTGCTCAAGTCAGAGTGGGGAAGTAAGACTACAGTTTTAACCAGATACTGAACGAGGTTGTAAGCCCCCCATTTTCCTTTTCACCATCATTTGCAAATATTGGCTTTTCTAATAATTGAACAACAAAAAACGTTTTATTACCCTGATTTATATAATAAAATATTTTAATAGCATCTTTTAATATTACATACATAAAGAAACATTTCTAAAGTGTCTTTTTAAAAAATGAATAGCTGTCCCTTTGTTTTCTTAACAAATTTAAATTGTTTTTTTGATGCAGAGCTGTTGTTAGATGTGCCTTAATTTTTATAAATGTTGAAATGTAACTTGGCTTTGCATCTTTTTCAGGATGTTCTTGAGGAGAGAATTTCCCTGGAAGTTCAACTGGAACAACTTCGACCATTCTCTCACCTATAAGCCAATTGCCGTTAACTGTGAACATACCCATTCTTAAGCAGTTTTGAGTTCAAGCCAATTTGGAGGCCCAAACATTCAGCTCACTGCTTAACTCAACATTAAATTTTATGATTCTGTTTTGCCCTATATGTTCACCATTGTATTTAAGTTTCTTTTATTTTTTAATTTCAACAATAAAAGGGTCAGGATGACTTTTTCTCCAGGGTATATTGTGTTTGTTGGCACAGCCCACCCTTGTTATTCCAAAGCATCAGTAATACATAACATTGGTCCATTAGACTTATGTGGCCAAAACTTCACACTGATTTGATTTACAAAATGGGCTTCTTTTTACATCTCAAGCATATTTGCAAAAGGAGACAAAATTAAGTAAATTCAATTTGTCTTCTCTTAAGTTAAATGTTTCACATAAAGTATCTATATTTGTTTTGTAAAATCTTTAAAATTAGTTTTCTATTTAAATTTTTTATTTGAAAGAACTGTGTTGGATAAGGCCTTCTTTAACCATAAGCTCTGCAGTAATCAACATTCTCTGGAGTCCTTGGTATTTTCAGCGTTCTCCGTGTCAACTTGGAGTTCAGGTTCTATATTTTCTTTATGAAAATTTTATCAATTTCACCAGTAACTTAAAATTGTTTGGTGTGAGATTTTAATTCAGCAGCATTCAAACATATGAAATAGCTTTGAATATAGACCTTTCTTAATTACTAGTAGCCCGGTGCACGACATTCGTGCACATTAAAAGGGAATTAATTGCCCTAACCGGTTTGGCTCAGTGGATAGAGCATCGGCCTGCTGACTCAAGGGTCCCCGGTTCAATTCCGGTCAAGGGCATGTACCTTGGTTGCGGGCACATCCCCAGTGGGGAGTGTGCAGGAGGCAGCTGATCGATGTTTCTCTCTCATCGATGTTTCTAACTCTCTATCCCTCTCCCTTCCTCTCTGTAAAAAATCAATAAAATATATTTTTTTTAAAAAAGGGAATTAATTAGCAGAGATATTTTAATATTGCTATTTGCCCTTTCTCTATAATAGAAGTGTGAGAGATGAAAGGAAATTAGTAAAATGTATATGAAAATAATATATAAATTTATTAATAAACAGTAACAAAAGGATATAACAACAACAGAGGCATGATATGAAAATGACAAAAACATGATATGAAAACAACAAAAATGATATAAAAACAACAGTGATGCAAACAATGACTGATAAAGTGATTAAACTTATTCTAATATCTCCCTGTACACCACATTAAGAGTGAAAACACTTTCAGAGTGCTTGACTAATTTCCCTTGTGATGAAGTATTTAGAACTTTAACTGTAATGTCACATGCTCTTCCAACTCGAGAGAAAGCAAAAACATAACTGACCATGTGCGAAAACGGGTTCAGGTAGGAATATGCCTACTTTGTCGAGAGTTTGTCCTTGGGATTTATTAATAGTCATCACAAATGCTGGCATCACGGGAAACCGTCGTCGAATCAATTTAAATGGGAGGCCAGTGTCAGATGGGGACAAATTAATTCTTGTAATCAGAACAACTTCTCCCTCCGCAGATCCTGTTAATACTTCAGCTTCGATAATGTTAGGTCGTAATCTTTTGATAATAAATCTGGTACCATTACAAAGACCCCATTTACTATTGAGCAGCCAAGGTTGAGAACCACTGATCTATAGATACAGTATTTCCAAAGGTAGCTTCAATAATCGATTTATTACAAATCATTTCACTTCCACGCTCCGCTCCGAGGGCGGGTTCCTGCCTGAAATCTCACCCTCCAGGAAACAGCTGGGGGAGGGCGCAGCCGTTTCCAAGACAACCCCTGCAGGACTGACTTCCTTCCAGTTGGTCGCACATCTGGCCGTGATGTTACACCCAGGGTTTTTATGTAAGTAGATACCCTAAAAGTTGAAGGGAAAGTGTTGAACTTTCACAAACAACCTAAGTACCATCCACTTGCAAACATCACTGCTTTTTGCATGACTTATACACTTAACTCTCAATTAAAAGCTTATACTCATCAGTCTCTACAGAGATTATTTTCAAGTAATATGTTTTAAAACTTCTGAGGACATTAATTCACAAAATAAATAGAAATGTCTTAGGATTTCTAGTTTATCTTCAGCTGTCTTGTCACTCACTCTTTTGCCATGTAGACAGGTTTTTCCTATTAACGGAGTTTATGAAGTGTGCCCTATTTAGGATGATATACTGTCTTAGGATTTGTTTCAGACCACATGATATATATACATTTGGTCAAATTTGTAAATTTATATTCACTGCTGACTAATGGCAGATGTTCCCTTTAATGGTTTATTCTGTCTGTGGGATCATACATAGTAAGCTACATGGATATATCATAACTGAATCAAAAGTGTGGTTTTACACTAATGAAACTTTTAAAGTTGTATACAATTTTTAACAAGAACTTAAATTTTTAATAATTAGAATAAATTTATATTTTCATTGTTGAAAAAAAGAAAATGTTTCAAATAGCCTAGTTCACAATCCTATAGTGTACTAATAGATTGTATTACCTTATAGGAGAGTATGAAACTAAAAGGAAGCTGACAACCAAAATCTTCCTAGATTAATATACCTTTTATCTACCATTAACTAAATAAAAATATTTTTACTACATATATCAGCTAAAGTTTCCAAGTACCTAAAAGGTTATGGCTTCAGTTTTTTAAATACATAAATGAAGACTTTAAAGAACGGCCCAGAAAACTGCTCAACACCTACTTTGCTGTTTCTCTGTTTTGAAATAGACTTGTCTTCATTTCCTTATTTTTATTCAACTAAATTCCATTATAGGTAATTTTTGGTAGGCTTCCATTTATTTTTCTTTTTTTAAAAGTGGTGGTGTTTTTTTCCAGCAGCTTTTCAATGTAATAATGTCACCAAATGTTAAAGCTTTTTATTTGTAAGATCTAAGAATTTTATTTAGCAATCAAAGAACACTTAAAAATTACAGAAAACTTTTTAGTACTTTGTAGTGGTATATTTTTAATGCTCTCTGGAAGAGTACATTCATATTAAGGATATATGTAACAAGTTACTGAGTAAATTGCCATTTATATTTCCTATACATATTTTTAAATTAATAATTCATGAAAATGTTAAAGATGATCGATAAATCACCAACAAATTGAAATATTTCTCTAGACAGTGGTCGGCAAACTCATTAGTCAACAGAGCCAAATATCAACAGTACAACGATTGAAATTTCTTTTGAGAGCCAAATTTTTTAAACTTAAACTATATAGGTAGGTACATTGTTATTAACTTAATTAGGGTACTCCTAAGGCTTAGGAAGAGCCACACTCAAGGGGCCAAAGAGCCGCATGTGGCTCGAGAGCCGCAGTTTGCCGACCACGGCCTACTGATCATTTAAGAAACTTCATTCTGATTTTATTTTTTTACTAGATCATAAAAGAAAACTTTAAATATACAATATGCTTGTTCTGTCTTAGGTGTTGTCAGTTAGGTAACTCTATCTAATAGTGTCCATGAAAAATAACTACCAAAAGAGGTGGTTCAAAATCTTGGACTCAACTTATTGTGCATTTCACATACTTGAACACAGATGATAAAGTTTAAAAGTTAGGAGGAAACTTATGGACCGTCCTCGCGTGGAACAAAAAATACATGTCTATCTTTGCCAGGAGAATTGGCAGCCCTGATGTTTTCTTAAAGTCCAGTCTCACTTCTCCATGGTACTTTTTATTGTATTTAGGAGAACTGACAACCATAGGAACTTGTCATCTTCAGCTTCTGTGGCACAAATCCATTCATGTTTTGGACCTTGAAGAATAAAGGCATTCTTGAGATCTGTAAAAATATTTGAGGTTCACTAATTAATCTTCGCAGGTAACAATCAAAAGGAGAAATTGTTTAAAATTCAAGAATTGACCAGTGTCTTCTATTTATAAGAATATTTTGAATATTAAAAGGAATTCAAACAAATACAGTTTAGGATATAACTTAAGTTTAGAATAACTCAAATATATGACATCTAAAATAATATTGTCTTTATATTATAACTGATTTTAATTAGCAATTATATTTAAAGACTAAGTGATAGATATGTAATGTTATTTAAATCCTTGCCTTAGCCACTCCAGAAAGAACTGGAACTTGTAAAGGTCTTCACTGAGAATTATAGATGGAGATGTGGAGAGCTAGACCTAGACAACTTTGTTATGAGGACTGATGACAGAATTAAGGCAACTACTTAGATGAATGGCCACTATCTCTTAGGGTACATGATGATATTTTAACATAGGGCATAGCTAATTAAGGGGAGTCATACACTTTTAAACATACCCAGTGGTTATAGGTAAACCATTTAATCTGAGTGTGTCTTCTAGGTGGAAATACTTATTCCCACACTTGGTTTTCTTTTTTTCTCAGGCTCATATTTAAAATGAGACTGCAGCTAATGAAAAGCAATTCTTTTTAGATTAATTTTTTTCTCAGATCTTGGTTCCACTTTAACCTTGAGTCCTGCCTTTACATGCCTGAAAAATACTGGAATGAGAGTGCTCCCTTCAGGTTGTCTGGCCCAACAAATAAAAGAAAGAGACATAGGTCCTTTCAGGTGTGGGAAGTAGAGGGTAGGAAAACTAAAAATAGGCACAGTTGGTTTAGGTTTAAGTCAAAATTGTTTTTATAACAAACTAGAGGCCCGATGCACAAAATTTGTGCAAAAGTAGGCCTTCCTTCCCCCGGCTACTGGCACCAGCTTCCCTCCGGCACTCGGGACCGGGGCTTCCCTCTGGCCACTGGCAGGCACCCGGGAATCGGGCTTCCCTTGCAGCCCCAGCTTCGTCTGGATGGTCATCCAGAAGGATGTCTGGTCTAATTAGCATATTATGCTTTATTATTATAGAGGCTATTTCTATTGAGGTTATTATGAATGAAATGTTTGTTACTAAACATTCTTTGCAAATCTGTTGATTTCTTTTATTCCTTCTTTACTCGCAATTTAAATATGAATTTAAGAAAAGGTACAGTCAAATATGTAATAATCATTTAGTTCTAGTAGAATGGAAAAGTAATAGATAAAAGTCTACAATTGTAACATCCACAGGCAGTATAGGGTAGTGGGGTAGTGGTTAGGGGCTCCCACTCTTCTCAGACTACTTCAAAGAATCCCTTGGGATGATGTCGAGTCATGCCCCTTTGTGAATTTTGAAACGTCTTAATGTCTAGAGTGCATGTCTGCATTCCCTTCTTTTGCTCTTTTAAGTAGATGAAAATTTACATGAATGAAATCCTAAAATATAATTCCAGTCTTTTCCCCACTTTTCTATTGTAATAGTTAATGAGCTTTACTACATAATAAAGCTTTCAAAAGGTATTAAAGTCTTGGTAGGAAAAGAATACATACATTTGGAATCTGGAATATCTTCTACGAGTAACCTATGAAGGGCTACTGATGCAATGAACTGGTAGGTTGATTTTGAAGTCCTTTCAAATGGGGTGTGAGAAGTGCTCCGAATAGCAACAAGCAGTGCATCATTGAAGAGGAAAAGACTGAGGTCTCGGGTGTGTTCATAGAGCCTGTGTTAAAATGCAGAAGGGGCACTTTCAGAAGCGTTCCATATGCAATGTGGGGAAAGTGAACCTTCATTCAGCTTTCCCTCCTTTATAACATGCATCATGCTAAAGGTGTGTTTTTAAACTTTTGTCAAGTTTGATATTTTGTGTATGATATATTTGGGCGACCTGGGGAAAATAAATTGGGTTCATTTTTTAAGGGTAACAGGTTGGGGTGAAGAATTAGTGAGGGTCAAAGTGTCTTAAGTAGAAAGCATTGAACTGCTGGTAGGAAATACTAATTTCTAATTTTGATTGGAGGGAGGGAAATGGATGTGTAACCGCATGAGTATGATAGGTTAGAATTAAGTAGCTCTTGATTTTCACTGAGGTTGCCACCAGGGTCAAATGTAGACATACGTATCAACAGGCAAAATATGTCCACAGCCTCCATCTGTTTATTATCCTCTTTGCTGTTCTGTTGTTGGAGCCAGGTCAGGTAGGTGTCACTGTGTACTAAATGGGTGGTATAAGTACTCAACCGAGTATCAAGTGACATGCCAGGGAGGAGCTTGGAGAGGCCCACCCCACCAGGCGTGGCTAAGTAAAGCAAGGTCAATGTTTTGATGGAGGGTTACCAAAAAAATTATTTTCTCTTAAAAGTATCAAGCAACCTTGGTTACTCTGAGGAAGGTAGTCAATTTACTGGCTTGTTCAGAGGAAACCTCTTATTTTTTTTTACTTTCACCACTTTCTGTTTAACTTTTAATTTGTCAATTTACATCCACATACAGTTTCAATAAATGTAAAGTTACATCACATCCCTCCACTTAGATCACCCTAGATACCAAGCTAGTACATATATTTCCTATTTTTTTATCTGTTCAGGTAATCACACAGATGAACATATATACACATCTAGGTAGTTTGCCATTATTTTACAAAAATGGTAATATTCACCTCTCTCTCTCTCTCTCTCTCTCTCTCTCACCGAGCCTCAGACCCTTCAGTCCGCAGGCCAACGCTCAATCCACTGAGCCAAACCAGTCACGGCTATTCTCTCTGCTTTTTCCCTAGTAGAAGGAAAGTGGAAAGGCAGAGGGTTTTCAATCCATACCAAAAGGAGGGAAAAAGAACTCTACTTGGACATAGAGCAGTCTAAGTAAGACCCCAGAGGCTTGAAATAGTGTATAAGTTGGGGAATTATGATGTATTGCAACCATAAAGTGAAAGAAAGGATGGAAGGAGATGAGGTTGGAGAAAGGGGTTCCAGGCTGTCCTCACATGGAAGTCATTACAAAGCCTCTCTTTCCCACACTCCCTCCTCACTCTCTTTCTCCCTTTCACCAGGTTCATCTATTTGCTTTAAAATAACCCCTCAATTGAAAATTGAAAACAATTCAGGAAGGAAGACTTGCAACATAAATGGCATCTGTGAATGCTCTGGAAATTAATCCGTTATATACATCATTCTTTTTGAGGTTCTTTTATCTTCCTTCTAAAGAACTCAGAAACTTAATGGCAACTTTAAACAGAACCCAATTTAGTCCTGTCATTAGACCAACAGGGTTTTATTCTCCCTGGTCCTCTGTCAGATTTTAAATGGATGTGGTTTTATTCCCCTTCTCATCTAATACTGGAACATATCCATCTACAGCAAGATCTCACTTTTAAATG